TCCCCCCCCCCCATAAAAACACTTCGTTTTAACCCCACCCCCCCATAATCATCATTCTCACACACACCTTGGACACAGTTGCGAGGGGGGATATGTCGGACAGTAAGGGACAGTTTGAAATGTCCACGTTCGTCGCCTTAGCTAGCGCCGCCACACTACGCACTTGGCTATCGAGAGTATTATAACCAATATATATATATATATATATATATATATATGGGACAAGAATGAGGGGGAGGGTACTGTACCGGAGGCCGTCGAGGTGGACGGTGGGGACCCCATGCAACGGCGTCAAGTCGTTGATTTGAATGCAATCGGATATGGACATGTACTGGGTCGTGCAATGACGTGGCAAGCTCGTGATGAAGCGATTCCCAGACAAAATTAAAGTATGCACATTCTCAAGCCCGTCGATGGACATGAGTTTGCCGACGCCCGTGAGGTTCAACGTGTGTACATTGCCCAATGCACTCACGTCTCGGACGTTCCAGCACCCTGTCAGGTTGACATGACGCACGCGGCTAGAAATATATATAACATATTATAACAAATAAGTAAATATAACATATTATAACAAAGAAATGAAGATACCATATTATAACAAAGAAATGAATAGAATATTCTTCTATTATAACAAAGAAATAAATATAACCTATTACAACAAAGAAATGAATACAACATATTATAACAAATAAATATGTGTTATGAAGATCATAACATTACCGACCATAGTTATAATTAATAACATACCAAGTTGAACAATTGAGGATACTATTGTGGATTCGAAAAAGTTGGTCGTACCCCAGAGCTGACACGTCCGTGACGCGGAAACAGTGCGTGAGGTCGACGCAAGTGACGTTGGCCAAGGCGGACACATCCGCCACGGCTGAGCACCCCGTGAGGTTGACAGACGTCGCATGCCGGAGGCTACTGACGTGTTGGAGGCACCAGCTGCCGGTCACGTCCACGTGCGGGACGTTGGCTAGCCACGTTACGTCGGTGAGTCGGGAATGGTGGCACGCATACGACGAGTGAAAAGCCTTGCGACTGGTCGCCACTTGCAACTCCAGCGAGTGCACGAGCTCGACGGTGGGTACATGCGCGATGTGGGCTGGGTTGTACGTCACGAGGACGAGCCGGACGAACTCCAGGTGCGGTGCGCACACTTGGACAGCGGTCGTGTGCTGATTGGTTGCTTCAACAGACAACTGGCGCAATGCAGTCAAATGCTACAAGCGTGTTGGTGAACCAGGCGTTCACTGCTGTCAATAGCATTCATTGCAAACTGTCCAATACTAGAAAATGACTATAGTAGCTATGTAGTCCAATTCATCGATTATTAACTTTAATATATATATATATATATAAAATATAATATTTGAATAATATATAAAAAATATTTTTATTCTGACGAGGTTGGTACCGTGAAATCAGCAAGCTGGAGGCATCGGTAGACGGTGAGTGATTGGATTTGCGTGAGGGTTGAGAGGGATTCGTTGGTGATGTGGGGGCATATGCGAAGGGTAAGCGAGCGCGCGGCCGCGAGTCCGCTGATGTCCACGACGCCGTCGCAGCTGTCCAATGTGACAGAGTGCAGCTGGTTCAATGCATGCACGTTGTCAAAGGCGTGGCACCTGACGACACGTATCAGAAAACCAAAAATATATCCATGTCATATCATAATAGTAAGTAATCATGTTATGCGATTTCGTACCGGGAAATGGACAGCGCGTGCAGATGAGACAGAGTTTGGAGGTCAAGGGTGTGGTTGTGGATGGCCGACGCTTCGAAAGACATTCGAAGTAGCGGCCACGAGTGCTGGAGAGAAGCCACGGTGCTGAGCGTCGTCTGAGGCGGTAGCACGAGGACATCCGCCGGCGTCGCGGACTGCATCGCCGATCGAAAGCCGCGAGACAATTGGGACAGACGGAGCCACGACGCCAGCCCCAACGCAGCACTAAATTCATCATGCCATAGGATCGAGAGAATTGACGTGTTCTACGAAGGATTGCATGTCAGGTTGGTCAACGTAGGTAGGTTGACGTCAGTGTACCATGATGCGGGCCAACTTAAAGTGCGAACGACGACGAATACCACAATCCCACAACCTGCATGGGAGAGGCTGACGATGTGAAACCGTGAATAGGACAGTTATACCTGTTGAACTATGGTGCATTTCAACTAAAGACTACAAAAAAATGCCTTGTCTTTCGACAGCTATTCCAACTTTGATATTTTTTAGGAAAATAAGCCGTAATAACTATAGAACTAACTGGTCAAGACCAACAGAAGTTACGGTTCAAAATTTCGATTGGTTAAAAATTGATCGAGTAATAGAATTTAAACCAACCAGCCTTTTTGTATGGAAATATATGGAGCCAGGCACTTTTTGGCCGAAAAGGAGCATCAAGTATATCTTGGTCTTTGTATACAGCACTTATCCGTATGAACGTTTCCATTGTATCCGGATTATTCAGGATGTTAAACCTATTTACCAGATAAAAAAACGTAAGTAAAAATAATTTAACGTCAACATTACGTGGGTTTAACTGAAATAACCGAGGCGTTTAATAGTAAAACGTCTCCTCCTGAGGATGGCCGATCTGTAGTCTTTAGATGAAATGCACCATACCTATCTCAATATTTCAATATATTTCACTAATCGGACAGAATGATCGGTTATATGAAATAATCGACTGATTTCTACAAGAAGTTCGAGTAAGTTGCGAATACGAGGTCCATCCATACTTGTGGCCGTGAACCCCCTACATGCTCATATAAGTATACTCATAAACCGGTGTAGAGTTTTTATCATCATGGTTTGGTTGCTATAATGCACGAAACTCTATGTTTCGATTCGGTTTGACATGGACCGAAATACTACAGTACTACAGTAGTACTATTAATTGTAGTACTTGATTGTCGGTTTAGTATTCGGATGGAAGTCGATCGAAACGTCAAGGACTGTGATTAAGAATTCTCTGGCGTACGTACTACGAAGTACTACGTAATAGTAGTACTACTAGTACTTTGCGACCGTGTCAGAACTATTTTTATCCGGATGGATTTATAGAGGTATATTTGGTACAAAAAGGTAATTCAAGCATTTTGTGATATCGTGTTTAAGCAAGACTATTTGCTTATACAGTGAAAAATGACGTGCATTCTTGACCTTTTCCATGTTTATCGCGAATTCTATCGCATTTTGAGTGGCTAGTCCGATTCTTATCCCTGTTGATCATTTCACTTCACGTGAACGAGTACAGTGTAATGTAGCCCTGTAACCTCGGACTCCTGCGTGGTTACATATTCCCGGGGTTACGAGTAAGTTGCACTAGATATCACTAACCGGCGGCATGATGATGTTTTGGTTTACCCTGCATTTAACTTTGATATAATATTGAAGTAAGAACTAGAGTTTGCTACAGTTGGACGGAGCCCCTCACAGGGAATTGACCTTCTACTTTTCAATCCGGTAGCATCATCGTCATGGCGGCCGGCTCAAGATCATCAGTCGGCACGGAGGCAATCTGTTGGACTCCTTTGAAGAATAAGACAGCTTACTGTATGATGACTACGATTCTGTACTACTAGTAGTACTTAGTACCTTACTATAGTACCAAGCAATTGTGAGATTTGTGGTGAAGCTCTACCAATCATCCGGATAACCCCTCCCTACAGCATGTGATATTGCATCTGGTTCTTTCGTCAAGCAAGGAACACATTAACATTAGCGTCGTCGATGTCAAGTTCGTCTTCCTCGTCGTCTAGCTTCTCCATCGGTGCCGTGGTGGCCAGTGCCGTCGCCGGCGCGTCCCTCGGTGCGCTGGCGTCCACGTACCTTCGCCCGGCCAAGACGGTGCGCAAGGACTTGATCCCGTTCCTGTCGTCGCAGGGGAAGGCGGTGGTAACGAGCAAGGCTAATGCATCCGACCACGACCACGCCCATGTGGACTACCACTTCGAGCGCATTTCGCACGAGGATGCTCGCGAACGGTCCAAGGCGTTTGCCGAGTTTCTCACCATGCGCCGGTCGCTGCGGTTCTACTCGAACGAAGACGTGCCGCTCGACATCATCGAGAACTGCATTGAAGCCGCAGGCACGGCACCGTCGGGTGCGCACACGCAGCCGTGGTACTTTTGTGTGGTCAAGACGGCAGCGTTGAAGGAGCAGATCCGCCAGGCCGTGGAGATCGAAGAAGAGGTCAACTACCAGCGCCGCATGAACAAGGTGTGGGTGGGCGAGTGCAACATACTCGTGTCCGCCTTGCCCGACGCGTACATCAAGCCGTACCTGACCGAGGCGCCGTACATCATCGTCGTGATGAAGCGCAGTCACGACATCGAGCCGGATGGGACTCGCAAGGAAGTGTACTACCCCGAGCAAAGCTGCGGCATCGCATCCGGACTGCTTATCACGGCACTGCACAACGCCAACCTCGCCACCCTCACCAGCACTCCCATGGGTGCCGAGAGTAAGATCCGCACGATCCTTGGCCGCCCCGCCAACGAAAAGGTGTATCTCCTCATGCCCGTGGGGTACCCGGCCGCCGACGGCACCGTGCCCTACCGCACGGACGCCGAGCTGCGCAAACCCATGAAGGATATCTACCAACTTTATTGAAAAGTCATTAACCAGAACAAGCAACGTGAAATAGGCAATTTTGTATGGGAACCACCTTGCGAATTCCATAAATAATAATTCTGAAATTGTATAGTTTCAATATTAAATATATCTTGAAGTTTGTATTGATGATATTTATTTTTCATGTGTCTGTCTGTTTTTGGAATTCGCAAGGCAGGTAATTCAAAATTGTCGAATTTTGTCCAATCAGATGGCGTGAAATCACGAAAATCTCTGGGTAGATTCATCACACCCTGTTGCGATATATTCTAACGTTACTCCTGTGATGGCGGTTGATGCAAGGAGTCTTGAGATAATTGTAGGCTGTGTATGAGAGCAAGATCATGTGATGTGGTATTCAGGACTAGGTCAATTCTAACAGGTCTCGTTTCACCACTTGCCTACTAACCCAATGAAATTGGTCATCCCACATTCCACCATCCAGCCCGTGTTGGTGCCGTACACCACCTTGCCGGTGTGATCACGTGGTTGCGCGGGCGGTGGCGCAAGACGTCTTGGTGGCACCCATCGCAAGTGCTGAAGTGGCGGCTTTAGCACTTTGCGTTTGCGATGGTGCCTACCAAGACCTCTTGCGCCACCGCGTTGGCCCACCAGAGCCACCACGACATTGCGACCCAACCGAGCGCACAACATAATGTTAGCTGTAAGGGGAGAATCACATTGGACATAGTCGGAGTGCACTCATTAGTGCACAATTCTTTGGAGCAGCATCACACAAAGTTCAAAATTGTAACCTCTTCTGTCAGTTTTATAGCCAATCGTGTGTAAGAAGCAAGGTGTGATGGACTTTGATTGGATATTAAAAAGTAGCAAGGTGGCTCACCTTGCGAATTCCATTTACAAGTCAACGCATCCTATCCGGATATTATCCGAAACAATGGTATGTGTCCGTTTGATTGGTTCGAAATACGTCGAATTCAAGCGATTGGATTGGCCAGAGTGTTCCACATCACGTATGCAACAGACGAACTGAACAACTTTCACAGATTTGAAATGTCATCTCAAGTAGTGAGTCTCCAAGCTAAAATTGAAGAAGGCCTTGTACAGCTACAGTAGCTAGCTACCAGGTACATATGGACGGGCTTCAATGTTGCTCACAAGGGATAGTAACTTCGTACTATCAAACACCCCCTTTGGGCCGAGATCTCGTCCACCTTCTGTTGCATCTACCGGTATAACCACGGAACCTCTTCCTAGTCATCATCCTGTGCTGCTTTCACTGCATATTGTATATATATATTATATATATATACCTTTGTCGCTCTTGGCACACTGCCCACATCCCCGGCTTTGTCATGTAAGTTACTTGGAATATGAAGATGAGCGATTCAACCAGTCGTTCGTACGTGTTACAGTATGTAGTAAATCGAATGCACGTGGCTCTTTAAGTGTATGTACATACCTACCTACCTACCTACCTAGCTCTTCATGTAAGGAATAGATCCCATCTTGCTTTCGATCCCAGTCCTCGGACTTTTGGACCGGCGGCGGCAACTTCTTGCCTCTCTCTCGCTGGAAGGATCGTTCACTTGGATGTTAGCGTCCAGTGCACGGCTGATTACTGCTATGATCGTTATATATACAAATTCCCATTCGAGGTTGGAGCCAGTCGATCCGGATATCGTATCCGAACTCCGCCGCCTGTCGGCAATTTTGCGTTCACAGCGCAAGAAAGAGGAACCAACACAGCAGCATCCACCATGCTCGACGCAGCGGCCGAGATCATCGTGACGGTGGCGGCGGCGGCATCGTCTAATACGTCCATCACAAACACAAGCTTAGGTGCAGGGTATGCATCGCCTAGCAGCAACGTGGCGGCACTGCGCTTCATCTTCACGGTGCTCTCGATCCTCGGGTGCGCGGTTGTCGTGCTTAGTTACATCATGTTCCTTCCGCTGCGCAAGGGTTCAAATGCATTGGTCGTGTCCATCGCCATCTTCGCCATGGGCATGCACATCACAATGTTCGCCCAGACGGGGTACAAGGGTCCTCTGGCCGAGAACGTCGACTGCGACGTGTCTGTTGCCGCTCTTACCCAGGTATTATGTACTGTATACACCATCACCATCATCATGTCCGTGACACCTCATGCGTCCTCCCCCGTTTTAGTTCTTTGTGCTAGGCCAAGAGATCTACCTCTTCACCATGATCCTGGACCTGTACTCGACGACGCGCAACCCGTTCACGTTCACGCGGCCGTCGTTGTACCATGTGTTCGTCCTTTCCGTGTCCCTGCTCGGCGCGTACTTGTTTTCGTTGAATTCGCGCGCGATTGGGTTTGCCGAGCTCGGCGTGTGCTGGTTCCAGTCCAACGACGACAACGCGTCCGTGTGGCTGCACATGTACGTACTTTCTCCCCCCCATCCAGCCTGGCCCGTGCATATTCCAACTCTATTCGTTGTTGATTGTAGCTACTTTGTGGCGCCCCTGGCGTTTCTCTACGGCAAAGGGTTCATGCTGTTCATCGTGGCGCGGAACCGCATCCAAGACGGGTACGACGACATCACGACGTCCGCCGCGCGCATCTTGAGTCTTCGCCACATGCGCGTGTACATTGGCATGTCGGCACTGTATTGGATCGTCATGGGAGTCGGGTCCATCGCCATCTTGTTTTGGCTTCCCCTCGACGACCACTCAATCCCTTCCTCTCGGCGGAAGACGCAAGTGTTCTACGAGTTCTGGATGCTCGGTCTCTCCATCAAGGGCACGGTCGTGTTCGTCCTGTACACGTACCTGATGAAGCTGCCCGCGGTGTACGCCATGTGGCGGCAGGGCTCGTACGACGACCTCATGAACGTCCAAGGCGTGCACTGGGTGCTGCGCCGCGACGTGCTGTACTTTGCCCGGTAAGACGACGATGTATGGACTAGCGGAAAAAAGAAGAAATGAAAATCTTTCGATTTTTTGGTCGTTTTTGTAGAATGTTGTCGTTTTTCCCAAAACATTGGATATTATTTCGACTTTTTTAGCAATAAATATTTGGACGTGTTTGTAGCTGACGAATCATAGACTACCAATCTCTATCGAGTGTTTTAGAATCAGTCTTTTCTTTTAATGGAATATGTATGGGGTTGGTTGTTGGATATATATATATATATATATATATCACTAAAGCGAGTTACCCACGACGTTTGGTGATGATAATTATATTTCGTCCACTGTGATTGGCTCGATTCGTCTGTCGATGTATACTTCTTGTATTTATTATTGATAGGGTCGATAGCTTTTGGCTCCATATATCGCTCCAGGTTTGAATACTAAACCCACGACAAGATACTAAATAGAATGAACATATATAGTGTCGTCGTCTTTTATATATATATATATATTAGTATCCTATCCATATCGATTAGTAGTACTAGTAGTTATGTATCTATCTACCCATGTAGTTTCACCCGATGGGGGGATCAAAGAAGAAGGTCGAGTCTATTTTCCATGATGTTTGTCGATTTTCTACAATAGGCTTCACAGTGTCTTGAATCGAGTGAACAATATATATATATATATATATAATCCACCAATCCATATCTATCCTCGTTACATATTAACATATATCATAGCATGGGCATTTGCGAGTCGATCTCGTCGGCCGTGGAGTGGATCCCCGAAGGTCCATCAGCGTACGCCGTTCGATCCCTTGAGCTCGTAGGTCGCCATGAGTCCCACAAAGCTCTCTTCCATGAGTTCGAAGCCGCTTCTTTCGCGGTCGTGCGATCCCTCTCTGGCATCACGGCGGATGCACTTGGCCTCAGTATGCGCGTACACACGCAGGAGCGGTTCAGTGAGGGCAAAAGCGGCGCGTTCTTGTACTACACTGGCGACCAAAAGTTCATCGTCAAGACGTGCACAGAGGCCGAGCAGGGGTACCTGATGCAGATCCTGCCGTCGTACATCGCCCACCTCCAGATGTACCCCAATTCATTCCTGTCGAGATACGTCGGATGCTACGAGCTGGTCGTGTACGACCAAACGATTCGGTTTATTGTACTGGCCAATATATTGCAAAATCCAAGTGTCGTCGTGGACGAGTTTTACGACTTGAAGGGGTCGTGGGTGGGCCGGTATGGATATATATATATATATATATATATATATTGATATAATGATGTGGATTATGGTCTAATGTGTGTGGGTTTGAAGAACAGGGGATGTATGGGCAAATGTAAGCGTGTGTATGGATTGTGCATTGTTGTTCATGGTTGTTATGGAGTGGGCGTGTATTATATATATATATACTTTATATGTTGATATATATATACTTTATATGTTGATATTATAGGTGGATGATATTGGTTATATTGTTATAATATGTGTATGTTATAAATGGATTGGGTGGACATGTGTGTACATATATATATATTTATGTATGGGTGGAAGGGTTGTTAATGTTTGTGATAATATATGGATTTGTCTTGTGTAAAAAAATTTTTTGGAGCGGTGTACATATATATAGATATGCTCGTATTGACGAGTGTGTGGGTTGTATTATCATTGCTAGATGATGATAATGATGGGGATTTATTTATATATTTCTTGCCATGTATTACAGGAATCAACATGCCTGTACGAATACGTTTCTTGAATAGAATATATATATATTTCGAAGAACGATACATATAATACGTTTATTGAATAGAATATATATAATGTATGATGCTGATGATGATCCTTCACTGGTATTCAAACAATATGTGCATAGTATGGTGCAACAATACCCAATGACGTGAATACTGTATTGTATTGGTTTAGATACGAGAACCCCCATGTATTGGGCGTGCGAAAGGTGTGCAAGTACTGCGGAAAGGAGTTTGTGGTGGGGATGACCCAAGAAGTGTGTGCGATGAACCCCAGTCGAAAGCAAGGCCACGTCCAGGACATGTATATTTCCCATATCTGGCCCATTTCAACTATTAATCTATCATTAGTTGCGGCAAGGACTTGAACTGGGGCGCGCGCCAAATCTCGCTCCATGAGGACTTGGCCGACGCGATCGCGGACCAACTAGCGACCGACTCTGAGTATTTACGATCGATCAACTCGATCGATTACTCGCTCATTGTGGGGCTGCACACCACCCCCATCCCCCCCCCTTCTTCGACTTCATCCCCATGTTTATCGTCCCTATCTTCGCCCCATCTTGTTCAAGACACTGCTCCACCGTCGCATGATCCATACGACTTGACTCTATTGGGGCTACAGAAAAAGAAGCCACCCCCCCCCCTCCCAACCTATACAAACTCCCACGTGTACTCGCCGACGACGACGACGACGACGACGACGACCCCCAACCCCTCGTCGGCCTCCACTGGGGTTGTGTACCACCCCATCACATCGACCAAAGCCGCCGCCTCCAACCAGCAGCAGCACTTGCAGTCGTCGCCCGTGGGGGGACCTCCTCCCCCTCTGGCAAACCACCACAACGAATGTGTCGTGTACATGGGTATCATTGACATTTTGACGCCGTGGAGTGTTCGTAAACAGATGGAGCACTGGGTCCGTGTCTATCTGCAATGCCTCGACCGGCTCGGCATCTCATGCGTCGATCCCAAGTATTATGCGCAACGTTTCCGAGACCGTGTAATCAACACCGTGATCCGGGGAGGGGGAGGACCGGCACCACCTCTGGACGACCACTACTCGAGTAGTACTACCCCAAATCAACAGCTACCCCCGAACCGACTCAACTTGAAACTGCTGACGTCCCAAGGTCCTACTGGTGATATCATAGGATATATGACATCGGGGCGAAGTACCACGACGTTGGTAGCGAGTGACTTCACGGGGTCCCATTTTGTATGGGAACATCAACGGCCGTCCAGCTCCAAGTCCAACTTGAGTTCGTTTCCGAGTCTCCACAGCACCCAAAGCCAAGGCCCCCCCCCTCCCATGCGATAAAGTTGGTTGGTGTACTAGTTTGTAGTAGTTGTTAATCATACCCATGCAAGTAGGAAAAGAAATACTACCCAGTCGTTGTAGTACTAGGTTGTGAATAGTAGTACTATTAGTACAGAGAACCCAGTAGGAACTCGCGCACAGTGGTATCGACACTATTTTTTTTCCATGGAGCATTCATAAATTCCGATGTCAACCAATAGTATTTTTTTCATATTTTATATTTTAACCAATAGTATGCTTATAAAAAGTTTGTAAATTGTATGATTGGATATAATAAAATTAATCAGATTGATCTGATTGCAAAATTATAATTCGTATCACAACTTGCACATTCGCATACAATTCCCCATATATTTCAAAATACCACTGTGCGCGAGTTCCTACTCGGTTCTCTGTACCAAGTACTGGTACAGAAGAAAAAGCAAGTACGTATACTGTAGTATACAGTACACTGTAGTACGACGTACGATTCGTAATAGTAGTACAGTAACCACCCGACTATAGTATTCATCGTTAGTATTTATGAATATTGCATACTAGTACTACTTACTATTACATGTTAATGAACTCTAGAACAAACACCACCACAACTGCGAGGCTTTGAAAAATACTGTACCTCAGACTACCATTTTAGACATGTGTGTATTCAAGCCAGCCCCCTCACACTGTAAATATATATATATTGTGGATTCGGTACAGATTTCCAGACCCCATCGAATCGCCGAATCGAATCACGAATCGACGCTATTGGCTAATCCAATTTTGAGTGGATTTGATTGGCTTTTACAGAAGGGACAAGTATATTCAACCAATCCGAACTCCAGAGTGATTCAATATTGATTAGACAAATTTTGGAAGTTTATGGCGAATTCACAATATATACTGTTAGATTTTACATTCAAGAGAGCCGTTTCGTTGGGTTTTATTTGCTCTTCCCATATTTGTCATGCATGAGGTGGTTGGCTGTGATTCTAAGGCACCTTGAAATCTGCAAAGACCAACATTTGGTCTTTGCACATCTGAGGGTTCGTCAGATTGGCTAAAATTGCTGGTCTGAGTAAATGTTAGATTCAAAATACTGAGGTATTTGTGGTAGTTTTTCGGTAGACTCTATGACGACGAGTTTGCACAGTGGACGTTAGATTGTCGTAATAACGTTAGTCTTCGATTTTTGGTAGAATTATTGTCTTCCTTTTCCCCAACATTTGGCCATTTGTGCTGATTTTTGCCAAATCGATCGATCGATTGTTTGTACCGACGCCGTCTTGTTTCACACTAATTTCAGTCTCACACGATTTTGATGTTGAATTGGTCGAAGCGTGGATTTGATTGGCTATTTGATTCTTGATCTGGATTTTGATTGGTCGATCGATTGTGTGCCAATTGGTGATTCTGCTCATTCGATTGAGCACCCACTCCAATTTCGAATCGACTTGACAATATGATCGTTGGTGCACGTCATCTATAAACTACCAACTTTTCACATAATTTTCTGACTTCTATTTCGTTTATATTAGTCATAACCTCAGCAAATGAGACGTAGAATCGACAGATCTTAAATTCTACGTCTCAGATTCAAATTTGGTGCAGAATTGGTTAAGAAATAGACAGTTAACCAAGCGGTATTTTGCATGGGCGAATGGCGAGGGCCATTGAACTATATTTTGATGATGAAAATGGACCTTTAACCTACCCCTATAAGGATAAAACGCATGAAATCGGGGGATTTTCAGTTAACTTATTTACTAAAGAGTACTAGTAACTACATTTAATATGCGTTAACAGTAAATAATATAACCTCGAGTCTTGAATTTAGCCAGCTGGACGTGCACCTGTACAAAACGTTAATACGGAATCGTTGCATACTATGCTCTGTACTAGTAGTACTACTAGTAGTGGACTAACTGGAAGGTGCTAGTGATGGATGGGTCTGGCGTTTAGATCCCGACCTTTCTTGTCGGTCGCGATTTGGTTTGTTGCGTAAAGTACTGGCTGGTACTGTACTCCAGTACTGTAGTATGTCGAGTGTACTCGAGATACAGTACTGTACAGTTGTTTAGTAGTACTGTCCAATCACTTAGTATTACTAGTAATACCTACAGAGTTGGGATTGTGAAGGATACAAACTGGTGCATTACAGTAGTAGTAGTACTACTAGTAATAGTACTTGTCGACAGATGATCCTACTTGTGAATGTTGATCCTTTCAAAGTGACCTGGAATGCGTTTGCAGCGTGTGATTGGGCGATTTTGTTTTATTTATTTTTTTAAATTTGGATCATATTTTTTTAAATCGTCGTTGTGTCGTGATCACATGACCAATTACCAAGTCGCCGCAAGATGCTCGACACCATGCTTATCTCTCTGGATGCGACCATTGACCGCCTCTGCAGCAGTCCACACCCAGATGACGCCAACAGCATGCTGTACTACGATCACATGGACGACTTGCTCATGGAAGGCGGCGCTGCTGCCACGTCATTCAGCCAAGGCCGGCAAGACTGCAACCATTATCCCATCATGGACGATCCATACACCATCGTTCTGTGAAGATGACTCCCATGTTAGTTGGGCTTCAAGAAAGCTTATTGAATACGAACGATGATCTATGTGTGTCTGTGTCATGTTTTATGGTTCCTAGGTGTCATCTTGAGCTTTGAGAGATTGCTTTGCTTCTTGACCTTTTGCTCCTTTACAAACCCGCGCAACTGGCCTTCCGCGGTGTACGTCTTCCTCCCGCCGTCTTCGTTCATCTTGAACGCTTCCAAGAACGCAAACGCCCACGCGTGCATCTCCGTTTCGCTTGCCATTGACATGAAGAACCGACGTGACGGTGTTGTGATCGCCAAGCACCATGTTGTCGGCGGGTCCTTGGACATCTTGGTCGGAACCATCTCGAGCGAGTCCTTGGTACAACTCGATAGGTCGAGGCATCCCTTCATCGGTCCGTGCTCGTGTTGGAAGTAGCGCAAGTCTTCCTGTGTCAGCTCAAAGTACCGCTTCTTCCAATTCCTGCGCTGGAAGAGTCCATCGCCAGAGCCCTGCTTGAACATGCTGCCCCGCTTGATCAGCACCATGTACGTTGCTTGACCAGAAATGCAATCCTTTGCACGAGTTACTTACATTCTGTGATACTTTATTGAATGGAAATAATATAATTAAAGAACGATACGCCCTCATATATACGCGTTCAAAATACTAATATCGACGCTTATTGCGTCAAGAAAATACATTTACGAAGGGTCCAGTTCAAGGCGTTGATTGGTTGATTGCAATGGAAATCGGCCAATCATATTATCGTATTGTGTTGTTGACGAATTCCCATTTTCAATTTCGATGGCGGTCCTCCGCGTGGTGTCGCTGTTGCCGTCGGCGACGGAGCTGCTACACTTCCTTCTCGTGAAACTCAATGCCAGGCATGACGAACCCGTCGCAGTCCTCGTGGGTCGGTCCCACGAGTGCGATTGGCCGGAGGAGTATGCCGCACTTCCAGTACTCACGTCGTCGCGCATCAACGGCGCGCTGTCGTGCGCTGAGATCGATCGCCAGGTTCGGGATGAACTCGCCGCCGGCGTCTCTCTCTACACGGTGGACACAGAAATGTTGCTATCACTGCGTCCAGATCTCGTGGTCACACAATCGCTGTGCCAAGTGTGCACGGTCGACTATGCGATGGTGGTCGCCTTACTCACGGACGCCGACCCGTGTCCGCGCATCCTCGACACGAACCCAAGCTCGTTCTACGATGTATTCCAGGACATCCATCGTCTCGCAGATGCCCTCGGAGCGCCGGATGTCGGCCACGAACTTGTTACGGAGCTGCAGGCGCGCGTGGATGTCATCCTTGCCCACGTCGTCGTTCGTTCATCACCTCCCCGACTCAAGATTGGATTCTGCGAATGGACCGATCCCATCTTTTGCGGCGGTCACTGGACGCCCCAGATGATCGAGATGGCTGGAGCCGCGCATCCCTTGAACAACACCCGCGGCCCCGGCAAAGGTACCTGCCGTCTCTCTCACCATGATGTGATTTTGCACTATTATCCGGATACAGTTTTTGTCCGGATAACGACAATATCCGGATACTGCTTTGTAACTGCCATTTTTTAGGCGGGTGGCCATCTCGGACGATCTCGCCGGCCGAGTTTGTGGCGATGGATCCGGACGTGATCATCGTGGCTCCATGTGGCATGGACTTGAACACGAGCAAGAAGGAGACGGTGGCGATGCTCATGCAGCCATGGTGGACACCCCTGCGAGGGAAACCGCTGTATGTCGTGAACGGGAACCACATGTTCAACCGCCCGGGGCCGCGCTTGGTGGACGCCCTCGAGTGGCTCGTGAGCATTGTCCATCCCGCGTCGACGCTATCGTTCCCAGACTTTCCCGCCGAACGCTACCCCAACCATGATGCGGTCAAGACGGACGAGATCGACGTCAAGTGTAGTGTGATTATGCCTTAGCACTACTCTTCTTCGCTTTCTTTGGGACGCGCTCTTCCGTCGATGCGGGGGCGTCGGCGGTGGGCTTGGTTCGCTTCGCAGATGTCTTGTGCGTCTTGTTCTCGTTGTTGGACGAGCTGTTGTCCTTGGCTTTGTTCGCAAGGGCCTTCTTGGCATCCAGAGCCGTTTGATGCTTGAGCCGGCGCTTGGCGGACTTTCGCTGGTTGCGCGCCTTCAAGCGCGCGATTTCTTCGGGGGTAATGCATGCCCGCTTGTGTTTCTACGTCGCAAGGCATGAGCATGACGCGAGTACTAGTACTAGGAGAACCTTGGATTGGACGTGGTTCAAAATGTCTTGTTCGTTGAACAACTTGACTTGGGGACACACCTTGCACCGGAACGCATTCCGTCCTTCCAACGTGGTCGGGACAAAGTCGTCCAAGAACGCCGCGCGCTCCTCTTCCTCGTCGACCTCTGCTTCTGCATCATCGCTGTCATCGTCGGCATCGACTTCCTTCCGCGGTCGGTCGCCATCGTCGTCGGAGTCCGACGCGGCGCGTCGTCGTCGCTGATGTACGGCGTCCTCATCACTGTCCTCCCCTTCGTCTCCAGACACACCAGACGAGTCGTCATCTCCATCGTCGCTGACCACCAGATCTGTGTTCATGATGTCCATGTGCTTCTGCGCCGCTCGGAATAGCGCCATCCTTGTGGTTTGATCGTGTGACCTTTTGAACTTTGACTGGTACTGGGGTCACATCCGGATATTTTTCCACCTCGTTTTCCGGAATAGTAGTATCCCAGCATACGTGATCGTCCACTATTAATAGCACATGTTCTCCCTGTTATACGTACTTGAAGTAGTAGTTTG